ACAATCGCTGCTCTGCAGTGCCGGCCGAATGCCTCTCAGGGCCCCCTAACGCAAGGGAAAAATCAGGACTCAGGATTCTTCAATTCTCAACATCCCCTTGTCCAGCCAAGAAGGCCACTCGCTGCAGCACCCACCACCCTAGGAGAGTGAATGGTGATTTAAGAGGACTGATTTCCCTTCTGCCCCGTCCTTTCCTCAGACCGCTTAAAATGCTTCCTACAAGCAAAAAGATGGACAGATGGAACCGCTGTAGCGCTTTTTATCCAAAATTGTAGACATGGTTATCAAGTAAGCCCCTCACCATAAATGTAATGGAATGAAAGCAACCAATTTCTGAAATCTGTCTTTTTTTCTGCCAATGAAAAATGCATGCCCAAATAATTTAGAGGGATAATCAAAAGCTATTGAAACCTACTTTTATGCTGTACCTTAACTGTAAAAAATGGTCAGAACCGAGCCATTTTGGTATAGAGATCTAAGTATTACTGTGAAGCTTTCCAAAGATCTTTTTATATAAGCAAAATTGCTCTAATCAAGTATAACACATCAGTAGAAGCATAACACATCAGTGTGCATATACTGAATAAGCAACAGACCCAGAATTTTTTAAAATTTAAATTGCAAGAGAATGGGCTGATCTTGTTTGACTTCTACATGGTTTCATAACCTCTAATGGTATCAAGACATTATGGCATCTCTATTTTGTATCGCCTAGGATGGTTGTGGTAAACCTACAGCAGGCATGTTGTTTTCAAGATAAAAGATCTGCGTATTTAAGGAAAACTTCAATATTCAGGTTTAACTGCAGCATTGGCACCTTGAGACAAGTGAGTTTGAGGTTGCAGTTTGGGCACTCACCTCTGAGTGCGTCCCCATCCCTCAGGAAGGGTACAGTTAACCACTGTTGCATCCTGAGTCTTACAAAGAAAGAGCTGACCCTACCTTGCCTGCCTTCTGAGCTTCCATCACACGGGCACACCCAGGAGAAAGCAAGTCCTAGTTAGGAACGGTTTTGGAAGCAGGGTGGATGCCACCAAACGGCAGGGAAGGACAAGTGGCCACTAAAGGCAACAGGCGTGGGCAGAGACTGCATGGCCCTGCTGCCTGAGTGCTGGAAGGGGTCAAACCCGAGGCATAGTTCCCTGCGTTCACCCCAGGGCAGGCCACCCCTTTGAGTACTCATGTCCACAGAGTTAACATCCAAAAGGCCTAACAAACTCCTGTGACAGTTCCAGGTCTCCAGAAGGCACTGGGCCAACAGCCAACCGGCTTCACTAGCAGGGAAGCACTCTAGAAAGTAGACATTAGAGGCCATCTCTCACGCATGCCCTAAGGTTGTGAGCTTTTATTGCCCTTAATCCCCAGGCTGTAACTTCCAGGTCTTTTCATTTCATTAATGAAATATTTGCCCTTTGTTCAAATATTTTGAAGATAGCTATTTTGAGTGATCTGGAGTTTTATGTGAGAAGTTAGATATACTCTATCACCAACAAACAGCCACAAATATTTAGCCTGCTAGAAAGGGTAGAAATAACTCAACAGGGATGGTCAATGTTTTTCTCATCAGTTCTATAGCTCCTGATTTTATTCATTTTTACAATAAACTCTAGATAGAAAATTTTTTTTGTATTTAGAAATTATTTCAGGGCCAGCCAAATAGCTCAGCGGATTAAAGCACCTGCTTAGGCAGATACAGGGGCCTGGAGTTTGATCCCCGGGCCTGCCATGCTGGCCCTACTCCTGTAGCATGCTGAGACTCTAATTGACTGGGCGTGGTGGCACGCACCTGTAATCCCAGCACTTGGGAGGCTGTACACAGGTGGATCACTAAGAGTCCGATCTAGTAGTGAGACCATGAATACCCTGTAGACCCTTCCTTAATAGATAAATAAATCCCATGAGAACACTGGAGAATCCCATGAGAAAGCATATAATGGCTTTTATGACCTAAAGCTGCTCAATTTAGTTACACTGTAATTCATTTTTTTAATTATTTACTGGATACGGGGTCTTGCTACGCAGTTCAGACTCACAGTGATCCTCCTGTCTCAGCCTCCCCAGTGCTGGGATTACAGGTGTGCGCCACCATGCCTGGTTTCACGTGCCAGGGCTGGCACAGCATGTGGTATGGAACCAGAGTCCTTGCGCTTGTCAGGCAGGCAGACTCTGAGCTATCTCCCCAGTCCACTATTCAGTCTTAATTACTTGTGGTTTCCTCCCTTCATCACTGGGTCCAGCCTACAAGACACTCGATTCCCTTCTCCCAGTCAACTGCCCAGCTTATTCCTCAGGCCAGAGTAACCAGGCTCTTTTGCAGCTGCTCTCCAGCCCCTCCAAGTCTCCCGAGTTTCTCCTCCTTATTTACCCCACATAGGCCATTCTCACCGTACCTTTCCAGGTCACTGTGTATCATGATTTCCTGTGCAGAGGGCAGAAATGACAGGACCAAATCTGTACTCTGATAGCTCATTACTTCCTTTGCAGTGCTGAGCACTTTCCAGGTACTTAAAATATTTAACACTAAGAGGATCACGACGTAGTATGTTTGTGTACCATACACTATAATGAATATTGTATTGGAAACATATACTAATAATTTTTAAACCAATTTATAGTTACAACTTTTAGCAGCCTTAAAACCTTCATGACTCTCCAAATCCTCGATCCCAGCTCCAGACGGCATACCAGGCTCTCCCCTCTACCACTGGTCCTGCCCTCCCAGCTCTACCCTGTCTCCCATCCTTCACTCTTGCTCATGCAGGAGCAACTGCGGTCTTCTCAGAAGCACCTGTTTCTTCCCACCTCCACGCTCCTGCCTGGGACACCCGCTAGGCGCAGACCTGCATCCTCACTCCAGCTCGTCCTGTAGCAGCTAGTCGGTGTCATGCTCCTACTCATCAGTTCTACATTCCTCATTTCTATTATTCATGTTTATAGTTAACTCTAATCTGGATTCAAATAACTTTTTAAATTACCATGAGAAAACTGCCTACCTGCCTGTGAGCCAACTCCACCCTGGGACTGCCTCAGTGTCTCATTGAACCTTTCCTTCCTATCAGCAACAGTCAACAGTAAGTCTTGTGATTTTGGTATCTCAAGGGGAGCAGCGAGGACAACTGAAATGCTGACCAACTAAAACTTACACCAACTTCTCCCTACAATCACTTCCATCGAAGTTTCAAACTCCTATCATGCAAATGTGAAAACAATTTTAAATAATCAAATAATTTTAAATACCTTTGTAGAACTGTTTCAACTTGTCCTAAGGTAGGCCTATCTCTTGTACCTGTTAATATTGTAGATTAACTTTGAAAAGCTGGCTGCACAACAGAACTTCTTCTGTCCTTAGTAAGAGATCAGACATGATTACAATTTTCACTAACTTACCTGGTCATCAGAAACTGCCAGAAGTACAGGTGCTGACTAAGGCGCCTAATAAAATTGGGGGTGAAAAGAACCAAGGCTGATAAGAATCTTAAAAACTAGATAAAATGGAGTCTCATGACAAAGTACAAGTAAATGTGAGATTAACCACTAACTTCAATGCAGAATAAAAATAATCCTCATTTGTATAGAGCATTGATACTCCATGTGACTTTACATATATTACCTACCTACCATGCTGGAGAGAGGACACCTTCATGTTACAGTTAAAATTCGAGATAACAGGGTTCCATACAATTACTTTAAGGGTAAAAATACAAACCACTCTAACCTGCCTTAAGTTTCTCATGTAGGCTGCCTGCCCCACAGGATGGTTACAAGGTTAGCACATGTGAAACTGTTTAATATTTATTAAATGCCAGCCCCACCCCTGGGGCACACTGCGACAGCGAATGAGACTGGGCATGGTGGTGCACACCTGTAACCCCAGCACTTGGGAGGCTGAAAACAGGAGAATCACTATGAGTCCGATCTATGTATGTAATGAGACCCTGTACCCCACAGACCCTGTACTAAATTAAAAACAAAAAACATTAAGTATTAACTGGATAAAGGCAACGTATTCTCAATCAGGAGGATGAAAGACAGGTGTGGTGAGATCTGAGTGTGGATCATTTTGAGGTGTAGATACAAGGAACGGTCAAAATATCTGGTGAATATTAAAGAATTTTTACAGTGTAAGACAAATTACCCTCAAATTACCTCCCTTGCTA